CAGAGAGGAAGGGAGAAAGATAGAGAGCTAGAAACGTCGATGAGAGAGAAACATCGACCAGCTGCCTCTTGCACAACCCCCACCAGGGATGTGCCCGCAACCAATGTACATGCCCCTGACCGGAATCGAACCCAGGACATTTCAGTCCACAGACCAACGCTCTACTACTGAGCCAAACTGGTTTCGGCTACTTTAAAACATTTTGATTCCTATCTGAAACTTTGATAATTTTTGTGACTCTTCCGTAGGTTTTTGAAAGAAATGCTTATTTTTTCTAATCATGCAGAATCTTCTTTCGCTGTATTGATTACTTCAAGTTTGTTGATTGTTTAGTAGAAGTTCTCTGGGTTCTTATTTTTTCCTCTTTGTACTTGATTTCTAATAAAATTGGAGGTTATTTACTGGACAAAATTTTAGGAGAGACATTCTGGCTGGGAAAACTATAAATATAAATATTACAGCATATTTTTAGTATCCTCTCAATTCTGTCTTTCTCCCTTCTCTGTGGATGAAGGGGATAAAAGTGAGGTGTGGTATTGTATCTTTTCCAGGGGTTCTGTTTCATCCTTTGATGGTTCATCATTGATAGCACCTCAGATAATTTTTGGATTGTGCCTTGAAGAAACTATTTACCTAAATTTTATGTATCAATGGAACTGTTCCTTTTTATAATTATATTCTTTAATAAATTATCTATATATGTAAAAGGCTAAGCAACTGTCTGACCAGCCAGTAGCTATGATGCACATGACCATGGAGCACCAGTAGATAGGGCCCCAGCATTTTGGATATCTGACTCTGTGTGTGCATGTATTTTTATTATAAAATGAGATTAACCATGATTCTAAAATTTTTTTGAATGATAACCTGACTAGATTTATTCTACATGATTGAAGAAACTCTAAACTTATATTTTTTAAAGGAATGCATAGCGTTCCATATTATGAATATATTTATTTAACAATCCCCTCATATCTGGACATTTAGGATGTTATTAGTTTTTCACTATTTTAAACTATGTTGCTAGGATTATGTTTGTGCATTATTTTTTTTATATGGGTTCTGCTTATTTCCTCAGAATATATTTATTCCTAAAATTAGAGTATCTGAGCCAAAGACCATCAATATTTTTAAGGTTTTTGAAAAGTGTCTTCCAGAATTTACCCATTTACTCCTAATTAGGAGTGTTTGATGACAAGACTTGTTTCTGCTTATACCTTGTCAAACTTGGGTTTGCAAATCTTTTGACTCTCTGGAAATCAGATAAAAAATGAGATCTTCAAGTAGTTTTTATTTGCATTTGTTTCCTTACAAGTAAGACAGATTTTATTTTTTTGCCCATGTTTTTTGGGCATTTTAGTGGTTAAGTCACCACTTCACGTCACATTCTTTTTCTACCCAAGGTTTCATATTTTCCTTGTTTCTTTATGTTAACTTGTTATGTTTTTAGGGTAATAACATTTCATTTTAAGATTTAAAGAAAATTGATTTCAAGAGAGGAAGAGAGATAAATAGAAACATCAGTGATGAGAGAGAATCACCAATTGGCTGCCTCCTGACTCTCCCAGGGCATGTGCCCTGGCTGGGAATCAATCATGACTCCTAGTTCATAGCTCAACCACAGTCATGCTGGCTGGGCTTTTTTTTTTTTTTTTTTTTTTTTTTTTTTTTTTTTTAACTATGGCACTTAAAATTTTCTGTTTCACTTTGAGGTTTATTTTAATAACTTTTATTGAGATCCTAGAGGCCCGGTGCACAAAAATCGTGCACAGGTAGGGTCCCTAGGCATGGTGGGTGATCAGGGCTGATCAGATTCCCTGCCTCCTCCTTCCCAAGCTATCTATGTGCTGCCACCATGTGGTTCCCCCTGCCTCCCACTTCCCCACCTCCTCCTTTCCTCACTCCCTCAGAGCCCTGATGCCTGTCATGTTCTGTGCTGCCCCCTGGTGGTCAGTGCATGTCATAGTGAACGATTGAATTCCTGGTCTCCTGGTCAAACTCCTGAGGGGACACTTTGCATATTAGCCATATATATATAATTTGACATACAATAAATTGCACACATTTAAAATTTGGTAAATTTCTGACTTACTAGTATGTATATCCACGCTTAAGCCATCACCACAATCAAGACAATGAACATATCCATCATCTCTCAAGGTGTTCTGTTGCCCCTTTGCAATTCTTCCCACCAGTTGTTTCTACCCACCCTTATATCCACAGGCAATCTGCTTTCTGTCATTAGAGCTTACTTTGAATTTTCTAGAATTTTATATGAATGGAATCATATAGAATACACTGTTTTGGGTAGTTAGTTATTAAAGAAATGCAAATTAAAATTACAATGAGATACCATTACACACTATTAGAAAGGTTAAAATTAAAAACTGATTGTACCAAATATTGGTGAAGATGAGAAGCAACCGGAATTTTCATATGCTGCTGGCAGGAATGTATAATGATACAACTCTCTTGGAAAACAGTTGGGTATTTTTTTAAAAGTTAAATATTCACCTACCATATGATCTAACCACTTCATGCCTAGGTATTTACCTAAGAGAAATGAAAACTTGAATCCATACGAAGACTTTTATATGAATGTTCATAGACACTTTGTAATAGTTCCAAACTGGGACCAACCCAAATGTCTATCACAAAATCAGTGGATAAAAAAATTGTGGTATATTATACAATGGAATAGTATTAATAAATTAAAAAAAAAGAACTATTGATACATGCAAAAATATGAATGCATTTATTTTCTGACATAGAAATTTATTCTATGTAATCAGTTTATTCTTACATGAGTTTTGCCTGTTTTTTTTTTTTAATTTTTTTTTTACCATACCTACTTAGAACCTCCTTACTCCCAAATTAAATATTTTATTATATAATCTTTTAAGACTTTATTTTTCACCTTTTCATTTTAAAACTACCTGGAATTAATTTTGGTCTTGTAGGGAACTGGTATTTAAATTATTTTTGGTGTGGTTAGAATGTTTGTAGGATTGCTTTAAATTATTTAGGCTCAAGTGTTCTGATTTGTTCTCAGGTTGAATTTGGTATCTGTTACAAAAATGTTATACAACATTAATGGATAGAAAAATTTAAGAGGAAATTTATACATGATCTTGCTGTCCCACTAAATAAGGAAGTCATAATTTTCATGAGTTTCATTGTATTGCTTTGAGACCATTTTTGTCATAATAGCAACGATATCATAAATGCTGTCTTGAATACTATACTAGTATGTATCAATATTCTATAAGCCTTCCTTTTCCATTTGTCCATAGTTATACATGTTACTTATACATAATACTAGGGACCTGTTGCAGGACTATTCCTGCAAGATTTCCGGCAGGCTTCCCTCCCCCCACTGCCACCTCTCCTGCTGCGGCAGGCAGGGCGGGGCGTACGGGGCGGGCGGGATGGGTGCCCCACTGCGCTCGCAGCCCCCGCTGTCACCGTCTCCGAGGCCACACGTGCTGCCACCACCGCCGTGCGCCTCGCCCCTCACGCCCAACCCGCCATGCCCACCGCTGCGGCTGCCGCTGCTTCTGTGGCCTCGTGTGCTGTCGCCCCCACTGCTCGCCCCGCCCCGCCCCGCCCCGCACGCGCTGCCAGTGCTTTCCCTCCAGCAGCCGCAGCCGCCTTGCTTTCCACTTTCCCTCCCTCTTCCTTCTATGCTGTCTTCAGTCTTCACTCCTCCCTCTCTCCGCGTAAGCAAGTTAACCGTCATTTTTTGTTGTGTTAATTTGCATAGTCACTCTGATTGGCTGGCTGGGTGGAGTGGAGTGATGGTTAATTTGCATGCTATATTAGTAGGTGGGATTTCATCATTTTAGAATGTTATAATTTTCTTGCCATTTAAATAACATTGCATTGAACCCCTTTGTGCCCACAACTTTTTGTTTCTTTGGAATGACTTATGATGCATAGAGCCAGAAGTACTGTTAACTGGATTAAACAAATAGAAGTTCTATTTCTCTGCTTTTTCTACAGGGTTATGCCAATTTTATATTGTGGGTGGGCACATATGAGTCACCAGCATCATTTCAGCTTTGCTTTCAGAGTATTACCAACATTAGGTCTATGTACAGTGTGGGGCAAAAGTAGATCTACTGTCGTTCGTATGGAAAATAATACAATAATTAATAAATAGTAATACAAGAATAAACTGTGTTTTGTATACTCACAACTATACGCCTACTTTTGCCCCATTCTGTATTTTGTCCGGTTTATTTCATGAATGAGTAAATTAATACCTCATCAGTCAATTCACTGGTCATGCATACACTTACAGCTCTTTTCTCTCTCCTAATGCTCTGTGGCAGCCGTAAAGGTATACCCTTCAAGAGAACCTGTTGCCAGGGTGTAATTGGTAGATACACCCTAGTTGCCATAACTCCAGAATTCTAGTAGCATTCACGCCAAGGCCATGCTCTCCGGGAGCTGCTCTCAGCCGGTGACAGTGGAATGCTGGACATTCCTTCCCCTTGGTGGGGCTCCTCCGAGGGACAATTCTTGCATTGGGCCTCCCCTCCCTGTCTCATGGCTGAGACTTCCATAGATCTGCATCCTCAGGCTCCTCCTAACCAGGCCTCCTCCTGTCCTCTCTCCTTGCTCAAGTATCAGACCAGCGTGCAGCCTGAAGGCTCTCCTCGCCTACTGTTCCCTCTCACCTTTGTCCATCACAGGCGTTCTCTTCAGTAAATCTTTCCAAGTCTAACTCTGTCTTGGCATCACTCTTGCGACACTCAAACGGACATACCCTGTGGAAGAATCCACATGGCATAATTCTCTTAGGGCAGATACAAACTCCAAACTCTTTTTTAAGTGAATGACAGAATGATGGAGAAGATAGGAGCTTTGAGGTTGGTCATAAGTTGAAGCCCCAGAAGGAGGAAGCCCCAGCAATCACTGGTAGTTGAACTGATAACGTGCAATTCTCCGAGTCACTGGAGGTGATAGTGGTTTTGGGGTTACACTCATTGCTGGTGTTATTCTCATTCCCGTCTGCTGCTGTTTGCTTTTTGTGGTTTGTCTGCATAGTGGCCTACGGGCAGGTGGTGGCTTAATGGGCTCTGGCACCAAGCTGCTCACGACACAACATAGTTTGTAACGGTCACACATGAACATAGCTCTTTCAGAGGAATGACATTGTAGCCTGCAGTGTCCGGGGACCTTACGCCCACATCTTGTTCCGCCCCCACTGGCTGCAGGGAGAGAAAAAGACCAGAGAAATCAAAGTTAGAAGCAGCATAGGAACTCCCAAGGGACGGGGGCCAGATGGGGACGTTTAGATTTTTATTTTGAGATGTATGCTCGAGATATCCAGTGAGTGAGACTTGGGATGGGCAGTGAAGAGCAGACACAATCTTCCTTGATTGATGGCCTCTGGGAACTCTGAGGAGCTTTTTCTCTATGCCAGTATCTATATCTTTGCAACTTATTAAGACCTAATTGGTACTGCAGAATGTATGGGTGAGAATGGGGAGGAGGAGAGAGCCAGGTCATCATTGTCAGGGAGGCACATGAACACAAATAAGAGGGAATTGGGGCTATTCCAACCCACCCTCAGTCTCCCCTTTTATGGTGTTTCTGCTCATTTGTTCTCAGGGAATATAAAGCTGTAAATATCAGTCAATCCAGGCAAAAAGAAAAAAAAAAAGTCATATCTTTCTCCAAGAGCATTAAAGGGCAACTAATGGAGCTACCAACAGGTTTTGTGTGTGTTTTTGCATTCAGACACTGCCCGGCACCAGAGACCATCTAGTTAAACCTGGGACTTTATCTCAGCTGTGTCTGCCATCGGCTTGCAGCACTGGCATCTTCTGAATACCCCCTCCTCTGGCTGACTTCACACCCATTGCCTGGCTTTCTGATGTCTTTCTCTCTTTGGTTCTTCATTCTCTCCTTGTCCCACGGTTTGAGCTGAGCACTTTGTTTGCAATCCCTTGTGGAACTTGCCCTCACAGAGGTCTCATCACCCTGCCAGCCAGCCCCCTGGAGGGGACACGAAGTCTCTTCCTCCCAGGCTCATTCTCACCTCGGAGCACTAATTAGGGTTGGTCTCAAAGAATGAAAATTGTGAAGAAAAATGCCTTCTCAGTGTCTTAGGAGCTACAGGGAGGGTGCAAAAAGTGAGGAAAGATATTTTAGATGAGGCTGAGGCCGACTCTTGCTTTAGAACAGGAAAAATGTTTTGGGAAATATGGTGTTTTGTGTGTGTGTGTGTGTGTGTGTGTGTGTGTGTACAAGGTTATATAGGATGGCTGGCTATGGGGATGAGGCCAGTGGTGGATGTGGGGAGATCCTTAGCTTAAGTTGGAACTGAGTGGGGAGAGCCCTGCTTCTTTCCACCCTCACTTGTCTGTTACCAGAGCGACCACATCTAGTGTTTCTGGCCCCCAGGTCTCCTTTTCCCTCCTCCACCCAGTTTACCTGGAGTCACCAGGAATCCGAGGGCTGCCAAGACCAGGATCAGGAGCTTCATGGCTGAGGGGATGGATGGCTGGGAGAGCAGGTGGAGTTTTAATGGAGCCAGGGACCTTTGTGTAATGTGCTTGGAGCTGCTGCCTTTATAGGATCCACATGATGCCAGGATACTTGGCAGTGAACCAGAGGGAGAGGTCTCTGCCACCCAGATCAATCAGGTTAGATCAGAATGTCTGCTAGGCTGCAGCCTGGATTGATTTATTGGGCACTTGTACTCTAGGCTGTTAGGAGAGAGAGAGAGAGGAGAGGCAGAACAAAGACATCAGTTCATAGCGCCCGTCTTTAAAACTATGCTTCCCAGCCAGTGCTGGTGTTCTTTTGGGGAAACTGGTGTTCTCTTGCACTGGAGCTGGGAGTGTTAATTGGTAACAGTTTTAATTCTGGAGAGCAATTTGACAATATACATCAGAAGTAAAAAGTGCCTGCCTTTTTATTCAGAAACTTTATCCCTTGGACTTGTCTAATGGAAATAATTGAACAAGTACACAAAGGATTATCTCAACATTGCTTGCACTAGCAGAAAACCAAAGCTACCTAAATGACGGTATAACATAGATACAGTAAACTATAACAGAACACTATACAATCATTAAAAACTATCAAAAAGTAAAAATACAGGCTATAAGATATACATCTAGCATGATTTAACATCTGAAAAAGAAACATCTGTGCCTTTGATCATGATGGCGGAGTAGGTAAATGTGGTCCTTTCATCCTTCCACAACCACATAAAAATTACAACCAAATTATAAAACAACCATCATTCAGAACCCCTGAAGTCTAGCTTAACAGAATTTCTATAACAAGGATATAAAGAAGCTACATAGAGACTAGTAAGAGGTGGAGACTTGGAATGGGCTGGTCACACACCCACATGTGGCTATTAAAAACCAGGAGGGATTTCTCAGCTGCGAAGGCCCCTCCACCCACCTGAGGAGTGAGGTGTCCCAGCCACACACTAGGTCCCCCAGCCCAGGGTTCCAATGCTGGGAAGAGAAGTCCCCATAATGTTGGCAGTGAAAACCAGGGAGAGTGTGGCTGAGTGAGACAGAGGGCTGTGGAGTCCCAGGCTTTCCCCTTAAAGAGGCCATGCAAAGACTTACTTGCTCTGAGCCTCAGTGCTAGGGTAGCAGCTCAAAAGGCACCAGGGACATATGGGGAGAGACTGGATTATCTGACAGCAGAGAGAGGGCTTGAGGGGTAGCTTTCTCCCAGGCAGAAGTGCTGGTAGAGGCCATTATTCCTTTGCTGAGCTCTCCCCTTACATAACCAGCTGGCAGGCACCATATCTGAGTCTTCATCAACCTGGCTAACACCACTTGCCCCATCCTGGTGATTCCCTGAGACCCCTACCTCACCAAACTTGCAGGCCACTGAAGCCTTTCCAGTGGGTTTTTCATACAAGTGGCTTATCTTGGCTCAGGCTGTGGACTTTTCCTAAAATTTCTGAAACAAGCAGCATCTGGCCTCGGTGTGCCCTGTACCACTTGCTAAGTGGCCCCATGACTGGCAGAAGCCAGTCTTGTTTTGCAGCTTGGCTTCTCTGGGGCACCTGTAAGCCTAGATTTCAGATTGCTCTATAGCTCATGCTGGGTGGCCCTGGGGGTGGCACAGGTGGTTGCTGAACTTGATCTGCAGCTCCTGGGAGGCCCCAGAGCCAACGTACCTGGTTGCCAGCTTCAGACCACTGTAAGGCACCCCTCAACCACTTCCACAAGTGACACATTCAAGGAGTGACCTCAGAAGGCATTAGAATTCTACCTAACACATATAAAGGAACACAGGAAAGCAGTCAAAATGAGGAGACAAAGAAACACATACAAATGAAAGAACAGAACAAATCCCAGAAAAAGAACTGAATGAAATGGAGGCAAGCAATATACCAGATACAGAGTTCAAAACACTGGTTATAAAGATGCTCTATGAACTTAAGGGAGGAGTAGATGAACTTAGAACTTCAAAAAAGATATAGGAAACAAAAAATGGTGATAGAAAAATAAAAAAGAACCAGTCAGAAGAGTACATTAATTAAAATGAAGACTACATTGCATAGGCTCAACAGTAGAGTAGGGATAAATCAGAGGATTAAATCAGAGATTTGGAAGATAAAGGAAGCAGAAAACACCCAATCAGAACAACAAAAAGAAAAAAGAATAGAAAATGAGGATGAGGGGGCAATGTTAAAATATGTACACAGGTAATAATTTAATAAAAAAATGTTAAAAAAAAAAGAAAAGAAAAGAAAATGAGGATAGTTTAAGGAACCTTTGGGACAGTTTCAAGCCTACCAACATTCACATAATGGGGGGTTCCAGGAGACGAGAAATTGAAAACCTATTTGAAAAAGTAATGACTAGAAACTTTCCTAACCTGGTGAAAGAAGTAATCATACAAGTCCAGCAAGTGCAGAGTCCCAATAAGATGAACCCAAAGAGGCCCACACCAAGACGCATCATAATTAAAATGGCAAAGGTTAAAAAAAATGCCAAAGGTTAAAGACAAAGAATTTTAAAAGCAGCAAGATGTAACAGGTAAAGTGAACACAGCTTTTTAATATAATACTTGCTTAAGCATTCCAATTTTCACGATCCTATTAACCATTACACTTTCACATTCTTTTGATCTAATTGTAGCCTGAGTTAGGGCTTCACCAATGTATTTTTGGTACTATAGTTAATGGGATTTCTGTATCGAGGAGTTCTGGAAATTTCTCTACCTCTACCATTTCTCTACCATTTTACCCATTTTTGTGCAAAACAAGAGGTGGAGCCAAGGAACCCTGTCCCCCTCTTTTAAATAGAAAAAATTGCTATTGTGGTTGTCTTTTTGTTGTCGTTGAGGGTTTGCTATTATTTTTATTTAATAATTTTTAAATTTTTCAATTATATTTGACATACAATATTATATTAGTTTTAGGTGTATATCATAGTGATTAGACATTTATATAACTTATTAGAGGCCCAGTGTATGAAATTTATGCACAGGTAAGGGTCCCTAGTCTGGCCAGCAATCAGGGCCAATCTGTGGGGAGACTGGTGGGGTGATGGGGGGGACCCCGCTGGCACCCACCTTGGAAGTGAACGGTGGGGCGATTGAGGGAGGAGGCGGCAGTGGCCTGCTTACCAGCCAGTCCCATCCACCGCTGCCACCTCTGGTCACCTCCCTCTGTGGGTGTGAGCACGGGGCCAGCGCTGGCAGTGGATTCCAGTGGGACCATTGCTGGCAGCGGGTGTGAGAGGTTCCTGCTAGTCCTGATCTCTCCTCAGGAGCAGGGGGAGGGAGAGAAACCCTAAAGGGTGACCAGGGCTGGCAGCTGCTGTTCACATCCATTGATGGTGCTGAGCTATTGGGGCTGGTGCCGGTTGCCAGCAGTGGGTGCAAGTTGTGGTTCTGGTGCTGGCAGCAAGTGTGAGAGGGGCTGGCACTGGTGGCAGTTGCGAATGCTGGGAGGGACTGCGGTGTGTGGGAGCAAAGAATTTACAGGAATCACAGCGACCGTGCCCCAACTTGGTCTGGCGTCCCCGCTCACCTGCTCCACTATCCTATCATGGCTGATACCCCACCATGTTTGGCACACACCCTCTGGTGGTCAGTGCACATTATAGCGACTGGTTGTTCTGTTCCAGTTGTTCCACCGATTGGTCTATTTGCATATTAGCCTTTTATTATATAGGATGTAAGACTCCAGAGGGGAAGTTGTGATCACAAATTTGATTTTTAGTTTTTTAATTTTGCAACAATAAGGTTATATGGGGTGTCCATATGAAAGGGGACCCTCTTAACAGCATTTACCATGATCTGGATACAATCACAGCAGGAACAATCACAGCAGGTGACTATCCTGGTTATCATAAAACGACTCCCACATGGCTTGCATACAAAGCATAGCAGCTGGGTGTTCCATATGGCATTCACAGGGGAGAGGAATAGTCCACATTCTCAGAGTAAACGTGCCTTATTTTTGTCCAGTGCGTTAGGCTGGCTGTTCCATCAGGAGCAACTTCCTGTGCGTTTGAAGCATATACAGCCACCTGTGATCGTTCCATAGAGAGCTGTGGGTCTTGTACAAACCCAACATGCTTTTCCGCTCTGCAGCATTCAAGACCAAAGACAGCCCCCAAATTAGTTATTCCCACAATCCATTGTAGTAAAGGTTCTTCAGGAAGCTCACGATACTAATCCGAAATGAAATAACTCTCTCACACTAATACCAGGTTTCCCCCCTCTTTCCACATGTTGATTACCTTCTTGTTTCTGCATAATCGGGAGTCAGGTTTTTTGTTTTTTTAAATATATTTTATTGATTTTTTTTTTACAGAGACAAAGGGAGAAGGATAGAGAGTTAGAAACATTGATGAGAGAAAAACATCGATTAGCTGCCTGATTATATGCCCCTGACTGGAATCAAACCCGGGACCTTTCAGTCTGTAGGCCGACGCTCTATTCACTGAGCCAAACCAGCTAGGGCTTGGGAGTCAGTTTTGAGATCAGTGGTGGAAGGTCAGACTCACCGAAATCTGAGCTTGGTCTACCATGAAGGTCTGATGCCACTTTTTTTTTTTTTTTGAGAGAGAGAAAGAGAGGTGAGAGAGAAACATCAACTGGTTGCCTTCTGTATGCACCCTGACCAGGGATCAAACCTGCCACCTAGGAATAAGCCCTGGCTGGGAATTGAACCCAGTAACCTTTTGGTATACGTGATGATGCTCCAACTAACTGAGCCACCTAGCCAGGGTTTTTAACTTTCAGTTTAGCTATTACAGATAACGATAACCAAGGGACTGAATATTTTGCTTATTTATTATTTGAATTTCTTTATGCATCCAATGGGACCAATTTCCCAGGAGTTGGAATCATCTTTAACTTCCATTGATAACTTTTACCTTGACTGATTGCAGCTCAGCTGCTGCTCCATACCACGGGGGACCACATGGCCCTCCCAGGAATCAAAGGTTCCTTATCCCGCTGAAGCCGGTTTGGCTCAGTGGTAGAGCGTCG